TGTGGAGGGAGGAAAAACGGAGAACCCGGCGAAAAACTCTCGGAGCAGGGCGCGATAAAACAAACTCAACCCATCCCTACTCCCCAATTTTTGTTGACTTAAAAGCAGAGCAAAATATATGAGGTTCCAGGATATAGGATAAGTAGAGTAAGTCCCGGCGCCAAAAGATAGTTAAGCATAGAAGTAAGCCTTTCGAATTAGAAGTACACTGAGATAAATTGAAACACATCTTGCGACACTGATCAAGTCTAAAAGGTTACATGACATATGAGCGCAAATAAAATTAAAAGGAAAAGGTTATTATTATGGTGGCAAGTGGAGAACTAAGCTACAGGGTCGACTCATTCAGTTTGGGGAAAGCTGATAAAAAGCACGGCCGGGTTAAGTCTTTGGAACTGATGAAATCGTCAATAAAAATTAATAACTGTTGATGATTTGACTCGCGCGACAGTCCTACGCAACCTCGCTGAAGCTTGAGTTTTTTGGTGTGTATGCTATCAGACCACAACGGCAAGTATGTTTATGGTACCAATCAAACACTCCGTGCAACGTTCCCAGAAACGCAGAAAACAATGCGTTTGGGTCATGGGCTCCGGGTCCTAGGCCAAGTCTGTCCATTAGTCCATTAACCTTCTGTTTTCCGGTTGAGGTCGTCAGCAAAATATTGACCGCGGAGAATGAATGCCATTGCATTTCCCATCGAAACGACAGCGTATTTCATCAAGAAGCATCGGAATAGTGTGAAAAAGCAAATGGAACAGTGATTTTCCGATCATTCCAGTAAAAACGAGAAAAGAGGAATAGCTCCGAAAATATTCCAAATTTTCCAAAAAAACCCGTGGAAAATGGAAAGGCCTGTTCCGTTTGGTTTACCACTAGAAAAACAGATTTTTTCATACAAATGAAAAGTGTCCCGGGTCTTAACAAATGTAACTTTAGTACTTACAACAAAAGGGAGATTCTTGAACGAATCAGTCATCACAGCTATGCTGCCAGATCTCCATTCACGTTTAAGATCTTTGTAAAACGTGTCTTCAATCCTTCCTTCCATTACACTAGGTTTCCTTGGACTTACAAAGGCTGCAAAAACAACATACCTTCAATGAGAAACCGTTCTTTAAAAAAAACGGGTTTAAAACAACTTAGCATTAAAGGAGCTCAGTCACGTTCTTTTGAGTTATTTTGGCCACATACAAAATTACCTTTATATTGAGGGAAACCTGAAAATAATTGTTTACTAAGATAGGAAAACACCAACAAGATAGCAATAAAACATAAAGAAACAAGGTTAGGATCGTAAACGGCGAACTGCAAGTTGAGCAAACTCCTTTAAGTCCAAGTCCAGAAATGAGAGGTTAATTCCAGATTGCATGAATCTCAGATATAATGTAACCTAACAGAGTTAGTGCTGACTCGGTCCCTGAACAAATAGTATTACATTCCTGTGAACGTCGTAGATTGAACCGAGAACAATTTTAAATTGCAGCTTTACAGGGACTTATTGTTTTGCAGGTTATACACGGTCAATTCCACGCTCTTATATCCAACTTTATAATCCATCATGATCAAATATTTTCGCTCGCACACAATTGGTCTGAACTTATCATGTGCTCCAACTAAAATTGGCGAATATCCGAGTTATTTTCCCCAATTTTCAAATCGCGCGTGTTGCGGAAGACAGTTGAAGGATGATAAACAAAATAGCTCCCATTTGACTTTAAAAATGTGTTTGAATATTTGTCCTTGGACATTATCTCTTCATCGAAGCTCCTCGAGCTTCGCTGTCGAAAACTGTTCGCTTCTGTAACACATAATGTCCGTGGACAAATGGCCGAGCATATTTTCGCGCCAAATGGAGGTTATTGGTTACGTGCATGCATGTTGCGACCACCTCTCCACAGCGACCAGTTTTCCAAACCACCAAAAGTTTCCAAGTGAAATCACTATGTTTGGAACCTCTTGTAAGCAACCATCTCTCGTAAGCGACCGCGACCACTTTTAGAGCTAAAAGTTTGAAATTTTCTTTTGTTTTTAACCACCCATAAACGACCACTTGACAGATCCCTCATAGAGCGGAAATTGGATAATAAGGTGTTGTAACATTGTTGCAGTCCTGGGTGGTTTCACGAAATGGCCATGGGAAGTACCGGATTTTTTCTCGAAATTGACTTTTCATGTGAATAAAACGTTTATAACATGGGTTCTCTGCAGTTACCTTATGCTAATGAGGCAAAATTTTGACCCAATATGGTTTAAGCCCTCCTAAGCGACCACCTCCCGTAAGCGCTTACGGAAAGTTCGACTGTATTTTAATGCAAACGTGAAAGATTACTCGTAAAAGGTGCTGTAAACCGTAACTTGTGTAGTTCAAACGACCTTTTACCAACTGCAAACGCACAACAATTTCGTATACTTGAATGCAATTAAATGTTAACTGTGAAAATTTTGCGTGAACTTGTGGTCTTCTTTCACTCGTAAGCTCCTGCAAATCAGTTTATCCAATGTAATAAAGTGGCAAAGATTTCCATTCTTTTTTTGTTATTTCTTCGTTTCAAGAGAAAATGAGGAAATCATGGTCTCTTGATCGTTTAGATTTCTCCAATGCCGGGCACAAACGACAATTGTGAGAGAAATGTCAAGCGTGCTTTGAGCATTGATACCCCAACAACGCGGCGCGAAC